CCTCTATCGATGTATGCAGATGTATTCAAAATCAGTAATCTGTCAAATTAAAATTTGCAGATGTTCATGAAAGGTATGAAGCCTTCGGCATAGCCGAAGACAGCGCGGCTCTTACTTGTTTTTATTCATATCGTAAATTGGAACTTCCGGTTGTGCCAACTGCTAAGTAATAACAACTCATGATGCAATAATTAAAGGTGGTGTACGTAGTGACAGATTGTTTCGACGACTCCCCTAGCTCAAGGTTCTATTTTGGAAGCATACGAAGCACGAGAGAAAAGGGAAGAAAAAAAGGCCGGTTTGCGAAATAGTATTACATTTAGACTTATTTTCGTATCAAAGTATTAAATGAAAATTTGTTTACTAAGTTTAAATATAAATGATTTACATATTTTTGGAAATACTTTTAAGTAAGTGGTTAGTAAATTTAAGATTAGTTGCTGCATTAGTATATCTTATTACATTAAACGAGCAATTCTTGTATATATGTATATATATATCCGTAGCGTTCTCGGAAACGGCTCTAACGATTTTGATGAAAATTTTTACCCAGATAATGTCTTGGGTTTTAAGGCTATCTGAATAGGCAATATCTCCGAGAAGACTTGTATAATGTTCCCACCTATTCGAAATTAGTTACAAATTAATTAAAACATCATAATATGGGTATCAAATGGAAGGTATTTTAAAGATCCCTAATTCAAAAATATTTTAAATAGGGTTGCTACCTATTTTGAATCACATATTTATTTAATTTTTTGTTTAGAAAAAAGGTAAATTAAATATTACTATTCATGGGTACCAAGAGAAGGTTCTTAAACAATTATTTACCTATATGGGCGAAACCGAGAAATAGTCAACCAAAATCGCAAAAAATGCATGCAATTCGAATTCTCTCATTTTTGTGTCAAAAAAGGCATACTACGTCCGCAACGCTAGGATTTGCCCATATACCAAATGTTATCCCTTAGGATAATAGTGTAAGGTTGCCACTTATTTTCGATTCTACACAATTTATCTAAAACATCTCAATATAAATATCAAATGAAAGGTATTGTTGAGAACTTTGGTCAGAAAATATTTTCCATCAGGGTTGCCACGCTTCTATGTAATGCAAATTTTTATTTGGTTTATTTCAATCAGCATTTTTTTATGTATACACAGTACATATTCGCTCAAGATATGTACCATTCATTCTAGCGTATTTCGGAATAGGGTTGCCACCTAAATTTTGGAGTAAGAAATTTACTTAATAGATATCGAAATCCAATTTTTTTTTATTACCAAAACATTTTTTCAAAGCTATCCAAATCTTGAAATCTTTAAAAAGTATAATGCACTCCGGGCAAAACTCGGTCAACCTGGTACTAATAATAAAATCAGAAAAAGACGAATATTTTATGATTTTTTAATTAATTTATTAAGTCTTTTAATTTGAAAAAATGTATATACTCACAGCAGGCATAGATAGAGGAGATACATATATAAAAAATCATATCTAAACAATCAGAGGTATGGAAGATATACCTTATATAGCACCAATCTAAATGATTTTCACAATTTAATGGGTTTAGCTACCTACATCAAGGAGATATATCGCAAAGACTGGTATCTGAACAATCAGTTGTATGGGACCTATATGTTATAGTGGTCCGATTCTTTCGGTTACGACAAATGATAAAGACATTATAAAAATACACCCACCTACCAAATTTCATCCGGATATCTCGAAAACTGAGAGATAGATTGCATACAAACAGACGGACAGACGAACGGACGGACAGACAGACGGACAGACGGACATGGCTAAATCGACTCAGCTCGGCGTTCTGATCATTTAAGTATACATTTTAATGGGTCTATGTCTTCTTATTCTGGTACTTACAAACATCGGAAAGGTATAGAAATAACGCGATTTTTTAGCAACTTAAAATTTGAACATTGTTATATTAAAATTAAATGAGCTAAAAAACTGCATACCAGGTAAATCCGAGTAAAAAGTTTAAAATTTTAATGAAAATTCGTTAAATTTTCCTTAATATTGTATAAAGTTTGAAACTTTGATTTATATACTTTTGTTTGTAGTATGAACCATATTTTTGTACAAAAATACCAAACAAATTGCAGTTTGCAAAACATTGTGAATATTTAAAAAAACAAGGGTGTACGCAGATATAAAGGTTAACTTATGACGAAAATACGCCGGTGGTGGAAAGATGGCTCTAAATTAGTTTAAGCAAGATGATAGTGCAGCGACCGCAATGTACGTTTTTTTTTTTGGGAAAAGAATTCCTCAAATCGTAAGTATTTTATGTATATCCGATAAGGAAACTATAAATAAAACTATTCCAAAGGTGTTTTGCTGTTTTGTGTGCCCGTGCATTCCACCAACTTGATCGGCTGCCTCTTAACAGCATTTTTTGAATTACTGCAAAACCACCGCTGCACTCGTAAGTACTTTTGCAAAATTTAATTAAGCAGCTATAATGAATTTTTTTCACAGGTTTTCTCTTGCTTTGGTTCGCTGCCTGTGTACATCTTGGTGCCAGCTGCGGAGAGTGGACCAACTTTTCGTGGCCGTGTGACTCTCACATCGCCACTGCGTGTCTTCCGCTTCTCTTTCTGTAGGACCACTGCATCGTATGTTTCTTCTGCTGCTCCACACGTAAGTACTGTTGCAATACCAGTTGACGCAAATATAAATGGAATTATTTCACAGGTTTACGACTGCTTGGTGTTCCCTTATTCATCTGGCTCGTACATTGCGGTCGCTGCACTATCATCTTGCTTAAACTAATTTAGAGCCATCTTTCCACCACCGGCGTATTTTCGTCATAAGTTAACCTTTATATCTGCGTACACCCTTGTTTTTTTAAATATTCACAATGTTTTGCAAACTGCAATTTGTTTGCTATTTTTGTACAAAAATATGGTTCATACTACAAACAAAAGTATATAAATCAAAGTTTCAAACTTTATACAATATTAAGGAAAATTTAACGAATTTTCATTAAAATTTTAAACTTTTTACTCGGATTTACCTGGTATGCAGTTTTTTAGCTCATTTAATTTTAATATAACAATGTTCAAATTTTAAGTTGCTAAAAAATCGCGTTTATTTCTATACCTTTCCGATGTTTGTAAGTACCAGAATAAGAAGACATAGACCCATTAAAATGTATACTTAAATGATCAGAACGCCGAGCTGAGTCGATTTAGCCATGTCCGTCTGTCCGTCTGTCTGTCCGTCCGTTCGTCTGTCCGTCTGTTTGTATGCAATCTAGTCTCTCAGTTTTCGAGATATCCGGATGAAATTTGGTAGGTGGGTGTATTTTTATAATGTCTTTATCATTTGTCGTAACCGGAAGAATCGGACTACTATAACATATAGCTCCCATACAACTGATTGTTCAGATACCAGTCTTTACGATATATCTCCTTGATGTATGTAGGTAGCTAAACCCATTAAATTGTGAAAATCATTTAGATTGGTGCTATATAAGGTATATCTTCCATACCTCTGATTGTTTAGATATGATTTTTTATATATGTATCTCCTCTATCTATGCCTGCTGTGAGTATATACATTTTTTCAAATTAAAAGACTTAATAAATTAATTNATGTAGGTAGCTAAACCCATTAAATTGTGAAAATCATTTAGATTGGTGCTATATAAGGTATATCTTCCATACCTCTGATTGTTTAGATATGATTTTTTATATATGTATCTCCTCTATCTATGCCTGCTGTGAATATATACATTTTTTTCAAATTAAAAGACTTAATAAATTAATTAAAAAATCATAAAATATTCGTCTTTTTCTGATTTTATTATTAGTACCAGGTTGACCGAGTTTTGCCCGGAGTGCATTATACTTTTTAAAGATTTCAAGATTTGGATAGCTTTGAAAAAATGTTTTGGTAATAAAAAAAAAATGGATTTCGATATCTATTAAGTAAATTTCTTACTCCAAAATTTAGGTGGCAACCCTATTCCGAAATACGCTAGAATGAATGGTACATATCTTGAGCGAATATGTACTGTGTATACATAAAAAAATGCTGATTGAAATANCGCTGTAATTTTGCAATTATAATTTTTTACAGAACATTTTCATAGACCGATGATCTCACCTTTCACAATGGTTCTAATGCTTGAGCTAAATTTGCCGATTGTTTGTATGTGGAAGCACTTAAAAGAATTCTTGGAATTCGATATCTATTAAGCAAATTCCTTACTCTAAAAGTTAGGCGGCAACCCTATTCCGAAATAGGCTGGAATAAAGGGAACATATCTTGAGCGTATATGTTCTATGTATACATACAAATTTGCATTACATAGAAGCGTGGCAACCCTGATGGAAAATATTTTCTGACCAAAGTTCTCAACAATACCTTTCATTTGATATTTATATTGAGATGTTTTAGATAAATTTTGTAGAATCGAAAATAAGTGGCAACCTTAGACTATTATCCTAAGGGATAACATTTGGTATATGGGCAAATCCTAGCGTTGCGGACGTAGTATGCCTTTTTTGACACAAAAATGAGAGAATTCGAATTGCATGCATTTTTTGCGATTTTGGTTGACTATTTCTCGGTTTCGCCCATATAGGTAAATAATTGTTTAAGAACCTTCTCTTGGTACCCATGAATAGTAATATTTAATTTACCTTTTTTCTAAACAAAAAATTAAATAAATATGTGATTCAAAATAGGTAGCAACCCTATTTAAAATATTTTTGAATTAGGGATCTTTAAAATACCTTCCATTTGATACCCATATTATGATGTTTTAATTAATTTGTAACTAATTTCGAATAGGTGGGAACATTATACAAGTCTTCTCGGAGATATTGCCTATTCAGATAGCCTTAAAACCCAAGACATTATCTGGGTAAAAATTTTCATCAAAATCGTTAGAGCCGTTTCCGAGAACGCTACGGATATATATATACATATATACAAGAATTGCTCGTTTAATGTAATAAGATATACTAATGCAGCAACTAATCTTAAATTTACTAACCACTTACTTAAAAGTATTTCCAAAAATATGTAAATCATTTATATTTAAACTTAGTAAACAAATTTTCATTTAATACTTTGATATGAAAATAAGTACTAAATTTAATACTATTTCGCAAACCGGCCTTTTTT